CAAGCATGAAGCCCTGAATTCAAATACCAATGTCATGAGATAAAAAGGATATTTTAAGGCACTGATACATGTACTGAGTTTATTCATTTGTCTAGGTAGTGTTTTTTGTTTGAATTAATTTTTCTTTTTTTTTTATTATTCACATGTGCATACAAGGCTTGGTTCATTTCTCCCCGCGCCCCCACCCCGTCTTTACCACCCACTCCGCCCCCTTCCTCTCCCCCCCACCCCCTCAATACCCACCAGAAACTATTTTGCCCTTATTTCTAATTTTGTTGTAGAGAGAGTATAAGCAATAATAGGAAGGAACAAGGGTTTTTGCTGGTTGAGATAAGGATAGCTATACAGGGCATTGACTCACATTGATTTCCTGTGCATGGGTGTTACCTTCTAGGTTAATTCTTTTTGATCTAACCTTTTCTCTAGTTCCTGTTCCCCTTTTCCTATTGGCCTCAGTTGCTTTTAAGGTATCTGCTTTAGTTTCTCTGTTAAGGGCAACAAATGCTAGCTAATTTTTTAGGTGTCTTACCTATCCTCACCCTCCCTTGTGTGCTCTCGCTTTTATCATGTGCTCAAGTCCAATCCCCTTGTTGTGTTTGCCCTTGATCTAATGTCCACATATGAGGGAGAACATACGATTTTTGGTCTTTTGGGCCAGGCTAACCTCACTCAGAATGATGTTCTCCAATTCCATCCATTTACCAGCGAATGATAACATTTCGTTCTTCTTCATGGCTGCATAAAATTCCATTGTGTATAGATACCACATTTTCTTAATCCATTCGTCAGTGCTGGGGCATCTTGGCTGTTTCCATAACTTGGCTATTGTGAATAGTGCCGCAATAAACATGGGTGTGCAGGTGCCTCTGGAGTAACCTGTGTCATTTTGTTTTCGGTATATCCCCAAGAGTGGTATTGCTGGATCAAATGGTAGATCAATGTCTAGCTTTTTAAGTAGCCTCCAAATTTTTTTCCAGAGTGGTTGTACTAGTCTACATTCCCACCAACAGTGTAAGAGGGTTCCTTTTTCTCCGTATCCTCGCCAACACCTGTTGTTGGTGGTGTTGCTGATGATGGCTATTCTAACAGGGGTGAGGTGGAATCTTAGTGTGGTTTTAATTTGCATTTCCTTTATTGCTAGAGATGGTGAGCATTTTTCCATGTGTTTTTTGGCCATTTGAATTTCTTCTTTTGAGAAAGTTCTGTTTAGTTCACTTGCCCATTTCTTTATTGGTTCATTAGTTTTGGGAGAATTTAGTTTTTTAAGTTCCCTGTATATTCTGGTTATCAGTCCTTTGTCTGATGTATAGCTGGCAAATATTTTCTCCCACTTTGTGGGTGTTCTCTTCAGTTTAGAGACCATTTCTTTTGATGAACAGAAGCTTTTTAGCTTTACGAGGTCCCATTTATCTATGCTATCTCTTAGTTGCTGTGCTGCTGGGGTTTCATTGAGAAAGTTCTTACCTATACCTACTAACTCCAGAGTATTTCCTACTCTTTCCTGTATCAACTTAAGAGTTTGGGGTCTGATATTAAGATCCTTGATCCATTTTGAGTTGATCTTGGTATAGGGTGATATACATGGATCTAGTTTCAGTTTTTTGCTGGCTGCTAACCAGTTTTCCCAGAAGTTTTTGTTGAAGAGGCTGCTATTTCTCCATCGTATATTTTTAGCTCCTTTGTCAAAGATAAGTTGCTTATAGTTGTGTGGCTTCATATCTGGGTCCTCTATTCTGTTCCACTGGTCTTCATGTCTGTTTTTGTGCCAGTACCATGCTGTTTTTATTGTTAATGCTTTGTAATATAGTTTGAAGTTGGGTATTGTGATACCTCCTGCATTGTTCTTTTGACTGAGTATTGCCTTGGCTATTCGTGGCTTCCTGTGCTTCCATATAAATTTCACGGTAGATTTTTTGATCTCTTTAATGAATGTCATTGGAATTTTGATGGGAATTGCATTAAACATGTAGATGACTTTTGGGAGTATCGACATTTTTACTATGTTGATTCTACCAATCTATGAGCATGGGAGATCTCTCCACTTTCTATAGTCTTCCTCAATCTCTTTCTTCAGAAGTATATAGTTTTCCTTGTAGAGGTCTTTCACATCTTTTGTTAGGTTTACACCTAGGTATTTGATTTTTTTTGAGAGTATTGTAAATGGAATTGTTTTCATACATTCTTTTTCAGTTTGCTCATTGTTAGTGTAAAATTTTTCAATCATTTAAAATGAAAAGATTTCTCCTAGAAGATTCATTAGCAACTTCTATTGAGAAACATCAGACACTGAGCCCACATTCTATAAAGCAGCAAGCTACTGGAACAGAATTTCTCCATCTATCCCTCTTCAGGTAGAGCAGGTACTTTCATGTTGGCCCAAGACCCCATATAGCATCCTCACTCATCTAATTGTCTGCCTGATTCTTCTAGGAAGTGATATTTGCACTGCAAGTTTAAAATCTAATGATTTTTCTCTCCAGAGCACTTCAGATGAAGGAGATTATGAAGGAAAAGGAGTAAAGGATCCCCTACACATTAGATGAGGAGACTCACCATCAAGTTGTCTAGCAAACACTTACATTGTTTAACAGTTTAAAAAAAAAGAACATTGTACCCTCAGAAACTGATGTACTATTTAATCCATTATTTAGCAGTAAAAGAATCTTAATAGAACCAAACAGAATTAGAAGATCAGACAAAGTTTATGTCACTAAACAAGAATGAAACATTGAGACCAACTGGGAATTTGCTAAAGACAAATTAAAAGCAAAAGGTAAACAGTTTAAGTATGAAAAAGTTAATTAGGTTTCCTAGATGTTTTCAATCAGTGTCAGCGTATTATTAGCATCAGGCAGGGAGAAAATATGTAGCAAGCAATTGTTATCCTGAGAACAGCCCTTAGATGTTATCTGTGTTTCTAATTCTTGACATTTACTGTACTGTATCCCAGGTTGGTTTGAGTTATCAGTTAACACAGACTTTCTTGTTTCCCAGACTTGTGGAAATTAGGAGAAAGAAAGATTTGAATAAAAGCAGATAAAAACAATTGACTGTTCACATGTGCATATATGTGTGTATTTTTAATCTAAGAACCACTCTCATCATCTGGATATTAGAATCCAGTCGTAATTTTCCCAGCTCTCTGCTATCTGTTGTCTTCCACTGTTGCTCCTGACAGTGTTTTTGCATTTTCTATTTGCCTTGCCGTTTATCCACTTGCTATTATTCTGCTCTGTTCCTCCTTCTCTTGCTCCTTGATCTTTTATCTTCATTTGTCTTTGTGTTTCAATCTGAATGATTGTGTTAGGATACCCACGGGGCGGGTACTAGAAAAAAAATTGATACCCTGTTCAGAAAGTAAGTTCCCAAAGGCATCAAATTAATGAGACTTTCAAGGCCTGTAGTGAGAGACAGTGAGTATGATGAAGGTAACTAGAAATATGAAGCACTGATTATTGTGGCCTTAAGCATCAAACCAACCCCCATATAGACACAAGCAAGCAATGCAGTGATCACTATGGATCCTAGAAATCACTTTTGCAGACCCCTTTAGACTTTGAATTTCTCTTTTAAAAAAGGGTGATTTTTTTTCATTCTGTGGTCACACTATATTGAGTTGATAATATAAAAAAACAAAGTATTTTGTATCTCCCAAGTCCTCTTCTCCTGTGAAAATGCTTCAAGCGTTATTTTTAAAGTTGTGATGTCATATATCAGCTGTAAATGATATTACCTTGTGTGTTTTAAAGTGTTTATGTTCAAGTTGCCAAAAATACACTTTGGAAGCTCTTTCCCCTGTGGTGTGAAGTAGTATTATTCTTGCTTCTTTATAAAATATACTTGGAATCCTCATGTGAACTTGTGGGGAAATGGACTATATTCAGCCATAGTACATTAAGACATGCCCTACTATCAAGGATAATGGTTAAAATACTAATAACTTAAAAGGCATGGACACTAACCCATCAGAGCAGACATTGGCCATGAACAATATATGATTAAATGTGCCAGTGACACACTGATGTAAGTTAGTCTTGTGTCTTAAAGACGAGTAATCCCATTAGGTACTGACTAGGAGCTTTGGCTTAGTAAACCTTATTGGAATAAGGTGTTTTAAATTAAATAGACTTCCCATTCCTTATTATAGCTGATACATGGCTCTCCTGACTAATGTATTGTATATATTATATAATTAATATGAGAAGTATAGATAACTTCAGTTCTTGCCATATTTCTGATAACAAGAATATCTTACAACCTTATTAACGTAGCTCCATGCCTTTAGGGACAATCTTATGTTTGTACTGAGTCTAAATAATTGAAAGTTAACAGGAGTTAGAAATAATTATAATTGATGTTTTTTCCCCTTTTTCCATCTTTTTTCTCCCATAATCTAGGTAATTCTAATTGCATATAGAGGGTTGATGGAGACATGGTGAGATTTTTTTTTTTTTTAGTAGTATATGCTTTGAATTCAGGACTTCACACTTGTTAGACAGGACCTTTACAACTTGAGCCGTGCCTCCATCCTTCAAGGTGGAATTTTACGAACCTATTAGGAAATAATTTTGAATGTTGCTGGTAGTTACATAGAATATATTTTAAATAACAGTGGCTTTTAAAAGGTATTTTGAACTTGTTTTAGGAAATACTGCAAATACATTATGTTTGTCATCTTATTTTTTACAACAGTTTTATGAATTTATTATGTTTGAAATTGAATGCTGGTGTGTGTGTTGTATTAGCTAATTCTCCTGCATCTTATGTACATATTAAACTACTCATGCACAAGGGCAGTATTTGTCACATACATTGTTCTTGCCCTTCAGATGACAAAACAAATGACCAGGATCCAAAGAAGTTTACTTGGACAGTACTTAAATCTCCACTAAGCTTACTTACAGAGGCACGTTTCAAAAGATCATATGGATGCACTCATGGACACATTTTCAGATATTCATGGTGACAATTATTTCAATCCTTTGTCTCCCTGTTTTTAGTACCAGGGCAGCCACTAAACTTCAAGGCAGAACCTGAGTCTGAAACCAGTATTTTGCTGTCTTGGACACCTCCACGTTCAGACACCATCGCCAGCTATGAACTGGTCTACAAAGATGGGGAGCATGGAGAGGAGGTAAGACCATGGTTCCTCCTTCACCATCATTTATCGCACTAACCACTGCTTCATTTTTATGAACTTACCCGAGTTCTCGGTCAGATATCTATAGATTCCACCTTTGTGGAAAGTATTTATTAATCAAAAGAGGAACTTGACAAAAAGTTAGAGCCTTTGGGGGAAAAAAGAAAGACAAAAACTGTTTCTTGTACTGGAATATGTCTCTAGTCAGGTTCCCATGTTTTATTTTCTAAATGTATAAGGCGGTTGAAGAACAGATACCCCATGACATTTAGTGACTTTCTTTGTTTATCAAAGTATTTTGGTCAGTGTGGAGACATATGAGTGAAATTAGCTTTAGTTACTATTAAAAATTATTGGAAAGATGAATTTGTCCAAACTGGTTTGGGAGAGAGATGCTGTATAGCAGTATTTACTGGCATTCTAAATTACTTGATATGAATGTGAATCTAATAAAATGTTAGTATGCTTTACAGATAAAATAGCAGTAGATTATAGAGGGCACAAAAATGAAAAAAGGAATGAAGATCAATTATAATAAATACTCATATTAGTCGATGCAGTTCTCAGAATTTCACACATATTAACTTATTTAATCCTCAATAAAAACACCGTGTATTAGACACCATTATTAACTCATTTCATGTATGACAAAACAGAGGCACAGAAAAAAATATACATAATAAATACATATAGTTCATCCTGTCTTACATTACTGGCTGAAAGAGCTGGGATTTGAATCTGGGCAGGAGGGTTCCAAAGTCTGTGTTCTTAACCATTAATGTCTATGCTTCTTAAGTTGCACTTCAAATAGATGGTAGAAATCCATATTAATATACACATAGAACATCATCAGAATAGGAATATGTCATTTTAATGACTACACTTTTTTTAATAATGAAATTTAATAGATAATATTAGAAGAAAAAGAAACTGTATTTGAAAACTCAGTCCATACAAGACATTTTATTTTACCTCTTAACATTCTTTACCAAAAAGATCAAAAAGCTGTGTAGTCCCTAAGTTTCTATAAGAATACCTTTTATTATTATTATTATTATTATGCTGGGTTGGGGTACATTGTAGCATTTACAAAGGTTCTTTTTAAAACATCGCATATTAAATGAACTATTAAAAATTAACTCATGGTACATCATTTTGGATACTATAATAAATTAACACATTCTTTTAACTTCCATTTTATCAAATCTTTTTGAACTGGACAGAATCTCTGAAGAACAAGCTTCAGATACAAAACTTTTAGAATTAACTAACAAAGCCAATATAAAATACTCAAAAATTATGTAACGTAAATGCAGGTATGACTAAATGCAACTTGAGCTATTGCTGTTTTCCATGTGGTATTAATGAGCTTTAAATTATTTTAAGTCTTCGCCATAACCAAACTAAGATAAATATTTACATATGAAGATTTGAGGAGAATGGAAATCCTCAGAGAATGGTGTGAATGCTAAACTATCACCACATCTACTGGACTTATGATGGTATTTAGAGAATTTTTTTTATTATTTGGTGAATGTGAAATTTATAAGATCTTTTGCATTTGAAAGCCAGAATACCCAAGGGATATTTCTCTAATCCTATTTTGACTTATTTATTTATGTGAATAACAAATATTATTTGATTAAATGGAAGGCTTAAGATTATGCATGTCATTATTTGATTCCATATTTGCTTGTATTTTAAATTTGACTACAGACTAATGTTTAATCCAAGATTGATTACAAAGACTGCTATACTTTGTTTAAAAATAAAAAGACAAATTTCAAGCATAGAACATAAGACTTACAGCACTCAATGAAAGAAATATTATTTCAAAAGTTCTCAATAATGTTCAACATTATAGAAAAGTTTATGAATTTTTTTCTAGCTGTAAGGTTCTATATTCACAAATAAAAAGGAAGTTCTCAAATTATTTTTTAAAAACCTGTAGTGATTATTTCAAAGAAAGTTTTTTGATTTCTTCAGTACCAAAACATGATTTTTATCCCAATTAGAAGTTGGAAGTTTCTTATCGTTTTTTACAGCAACCTTTTGTTGCTGTAAACTGTTTACTGGTTACTATTATTATATCTGGTCACATTTTCTTTGCCTCGTATTTAGATTGCAGAATGTCACTGGAGATGAGCTTGACATCTGTTCAAATGAAATTGTGTATGTTTGTCATATTATATGATCAAGGGCAGGTGTCAGTTTCTGTTGTAAGCTGGTCATGCAACATACAAGTCTCTAGGGGAGACACATTTATGGGTGTTAGCCTCTCAGTTCCCCCAGTGTTTTATTTATTTGTTTGTTTATTTACTTTTATGTAGCACCGGGGTTTGAACTCAGAGCATTACGCTTGCTAGGCAGGTGCTCTTACCGATTGAGCCACTCCACTGGTCCTCCCCATTGAAAAGGCCTCTGCTTGCTTTATTTCATTTACCTTATCTTTTGTTGAAACATGCTTTTTAAGCTGTGATGTTTTCATTATGTAATCCCCCTAGTATAGTCTTCGATACTCATTGTTGATTCTTTTTGTAATATTTTGATAAAATTATGATTCTGATAACAGAAATCTAATGTTACAGACGCTGTGATTAAAAAATATTTACATGAGTCTTAATGAAGATGACCAAATTCTCTTGTTACTCACAGCAACGAATTACCATTGAGCCAGGGACATCTTACAGGCTGCAAGGGCTGAAACCAAACAGCCTGTACTACTTCCGTCTGGCTGCACGCTCTCCTCAAGGCCTGGGTGCTTCTACAGCTGAAATATCAGCCAGAACCATGCAATCAAGTAGGTGTCACTCTTTGCTTTCTTGTTGCCTTCTTTTCAGTACTCCTACTTCATAGTTTTTTCCTCCACCAACAAAAAAAAAAATCTTTGAATGTGGTCACTAGTCAATAATCGCTATGCTAATAAGCATCCCACTTTGGAGATTAAAGCACAACCAGGATCTAAATTTGGTGCAGATAGCACACCCCATTTTCTCATTTCCTTAATGCAAAGTCTTTCAGAAAAGTCAGCAGACCTCCATAGCTGGGAAGTGGGTGAAAGTAGTTAGATCAGATCGCATTCATGAATTTTAAGGCTGTAAAGCAGAATTCCAGTTGAGATCCCTAGAAAATAATCAAAGGAGGACACAACAAGTTAAAGAAGCCATGAAAGACAAACTTGAGTCTTTTAAAAGCATATAAATTTTAACTTTGCTAACTTTTTAACTTGCTAAAAAACAAGTCTATATCGTGTTTGTTCCTACTCAGGAGAAAAGCTCAGCTTTTAGGACTAGTTTCTTATTATCTCTGCAAGTAGTACATCTGGAAACTGAGAACATTCACAGAAAATCTATATTTAGACAAATTTAAGAATAATGGAATAACCACAAGCACATTTGCAATTCTAAATTGTATTTTATTTCCCCAGGTTCAATCTCTTTTTGAAACTTCCCCTTAAGCACAGCTGTATTTGTTACAATGGGGGTTCATTGTGCCCAGAATAGATTGTTTTGCAAAAGAGTATCCTATAGTAGATTATTTCTGTGGAAAGTTTGGTGGCTTATAATACTGTTGTTTTCTTTTTAATAGTAGGTATCTACAATTAGTCTGTAGACAGTTACTTACCTTGAATTGAAGAGTTTTATGGAGTTACCATCTTTTGTTTATGTGGTATTTTATCTGTGATTGGTGACATAGAGACATATGCAGTAGATACATATAAAATGAAAACATCAAAGCTTGATGAACGGATGCACTATTAACCTTATATTTACACCTGACAGCGAACATGAAATTTATATTTTTATAGAGATTAATTTCATATGTACAATTCTTTCATCATTTCACTTTCTATGAACACATGAAGTCTTTCAGAGATTTTTATTGATAAATTCATAGTCTTCCTCTTCATGAAAACATGATCATTCATATAAAAAGTTTTAGGATCCTGTTGCCTAATCCATTAGTGATTATAGGCTTCTCTCTTTTTCCTTTCATTTAAAAATTATAGCATGCAAATTAATGCAGCTTCTGTGTGTCTAATTTAAATTGCTGACAAATAGATAATACTGTAAAAGATGGTTTCTTAAAATCTAGCATTTAGTTAAAAGAAATGTTTTATGCTTCAATATTGCGTTTTGTGTGGTTTTCATAACTTACTTTTTCACATAAATGCATGTACAGATATAGAACGGACATTTTATGACCCCATCAAAGGGGTATCTAGTCTTTATTGCAGTGAAACTTTCAAATAGTGTTCATGGAATAGGTGATCTGAAGGAAGCAATCTAGTAAAAAAATTTTAAAAATCACCTTTTAAAAAAGAATTATAAATGAGTTCTTGCTATATGAACAACTCAATGTATTATGAATAATGATAATGCATATAAAATAGTTTTATAATTTGAGATACAAGAACTTTTGTCTGAATCAGTAAAACTGATATTCTAGTGATTTTGCAAATCTTATTTCCAGTTTGCAAGGTTATCTGTCCTATAAGTATTTCTTTTTGTCAATTCAGGAAGCTTTGCATTTAGATTGACTATGAGGATTAACTCAAGGCACTTAAATCAATAGAGAGCAATAATCCTCTGAAAAATTCCATACACATGGCACTGTCTAAGAAAATCCCCAAACAACATATAAAAATGCAAAAAATTAAGATTATGTCTTTGATTCTACCATATGTATTGCCTTAAAATACATATGTGTATATATGTATTTGTATATCTTATCCCTGTCATTTGTTCTTTTATAGAAGCTTGTATTATTAGTTTTAAGTCATCATAATAGTTGTGTTGTTCATTACAGATTTTTAATCTTTTAGTTAATAATACATGTGGGTAATTTGATGGGAAATAATTTCCTTAGAAGTTTATCAGTTTTACAATGAGCAGTAAGAAGTATGTCTTTTACCTCTTATGTAAATCTATTTTGTATGAATAGTTATATACAAAATGAAAGAGATTTTCCATATAAATCATATCTTTTCTAGATGGTTCTTGAATCATTTTTAATTAGATCTTTTTAATGGTTGTATTATTGACATTTTGTAAGGGGTAGGTGATTATTACTGATTTTACCAAAACTTGCTGGTGGGATCTAATTCTTTGTTAGCAATGGTGTCTCAAGAAGACTTATAATTTAAAAAGCTGAAAGCTGACATAGGGTAAGTACAAGTTACAGTCAGAATCAACAAGCCTGACATTACCCTCGGGTAGGTAAATCTTGAACTATGCATTTTCATCCTTTATTGATGCTGCATGCTCACTGTATTTGGGCTATGATCAATTTTAGGTTAACACTTTTCATTAAGACTGGTCAGGCAGACTTAGTTTTTTAGATAAAGTTGAACCCTTTTATGTTTGTTGGGCTTTTAAAAATTGGAACTGTTAGAGTGGCTTCTAATAGTTATTATAACTTTTCATACTAATTTTTCTTTCACAAACAAATACTGTATGTGAATCATCCTCATTCTAGGATGTAGAAGTGAGCACTTGGAATGACATCTATGAAGCATCTTCAGAATCTCAAGTTTAAAAATGTAGTAGAATAACAGCTTTTGGGGGCTGGATCATCAGTGTAGTGGGGTGGGAGATACCAAGGGATTGGTTTAGAAGAAGAATTTAAATCACAGGTAGGTAATTTTATTTGAGGCTCTGTTATCTCAAGGTTTCATTTTCACATACTCCCCCCACCATTATTTAACAATTTTTTTTGGTCATTTATTCACTTTTTGGTTTATTCATGTTACTAAGCCAAGGTACATAAATTTATCTTTAAAAATTTAAGTTTCAAAGCCTTATTTTTGTTTCATTGTCCTTAATGTTCGTTTATTTATTTTTGCCTTTTCTTTTGTTTTATCATTTTTTTTCCAACCACTCCTGTCCTTTCACTCAAATCCTTCTTTAACTCACTACCAAAATAAGAGCCGTCAGCTCCTCCTCAAGACATTAGTTGCACCAGCCCAAGTTCCACTAGTATTTTGGTAAGTTGGCAACCTCCACCTGTGGAAAAACAGAATGGCATTATCACTGAATACTCCATCAAGTATGCTGCAGTGGACGGGGAAGATGACAAGCCTCATGAGGTTTTGGGAATTCCATCGGACACTACCAAATACCTTTTGGAACAACTGGAAAAATGGACTGAATACCGGATTACTGTTACCGCCCACACAGATGTCGGCCCTGGCCCTGAGAGCTTATCCGTGTTGATTCGAACCGATGAAGATGGTATGTTGCCTGTACTACGTCAATTTGCACCCTTCTGACACAATCTTGACCTGCTGTCTTTTGATAGGCTAACAGTTACTAATTTTTTCTGCTCATCTGTTTACCCAGCATGGCTCTTACTTCAGTATTTTTGCCAAGACCTGTGTTGGCTACATCCTGGGCACTTTTTTCCAATCTCAATATAATAATTTTCTTCCTATTAAAAGGACAGTTGGCTCTTATGATCTTACAATCCAGCCTTTCTCTGTACTTCATCTAAAGTCTTCTGTGTTTTTCTTGGTTTTATTGTAGGCACTTCTTTTCCACTTTGAAGTGAACTTTTCCAAACTTTTTATCTTCTTGTTGCCTTTTTATCTTGCATTTTTCAGAGGCACTGATGCTCGACACTCACTTTTTGGCATCTGTTGTATGGAATACCTTTGATATGAGAAAAAAAGAGAAGATAATCCATATACTCAAGGATCTTTTTATTCTTCTATTTAAAAAAGAAACCTTTAAAAAGACACAACAATCAACAATCTGTTTTTTGTTATTATTTCAATGCAATATCTCTTTGTGCTTTAATGCTTTGATCCTCAAAGCATCTTCCTTGGCTTTTGTACATTTTTTTTACATGTTTTTCTATTTCTCTGATACTCTTTTTTTCTTCCATTTTGTTTTTTTTTTTTTTGCATTGGTCATGTTTTTTGATCTTTTCTTAAAAGGTAGAACAGATTGGTTGAGCATTTTCATTGGTTGAAAATGTTTGTATTCTTCAAAGGAAACATAGTGGGTCTACCCATTTTTAAGTAAAAAACAGTGCTCTGTCTGGGTGGGACAAGTGCCTATAATTTTCTTTTATCCGATGATGTTGTTCCAGTTCCTAGTGGTCCTCCTCGCAAAGTCGAGGTAGAGGCTGTCAACTCAACATCTGTTAAAGTCTCATGGCGCTCACCTGTGCCCAATAAACAGCATGGCCAGATAAGAGGATACCAGGTGCATTACGTGAGGATGGAAAACGGTGAGCCCAAGGGCCAGCCCATGCTGAAGGATGTCATGCTGGCTGATGCACAGGTGAGCCTGTTAGATTTCTCTAAGTCTTTACCTTGATGCTGGCCCTATTTTTATTTAGTTATATTTTTTATATTTTTAAAGTCTATAAAAAGTTCTAAATTTCAAAACACAATGATGTATACTTACCTTTTTAATCAGAAGATGACATCAAGTAAAGAAATGAATTACAATGAAATGGCGAAGTCTGATTTTTAAAAAGTCACTATTTTCTTAAAAATATAGGTATTCAGCTCTTTATGTCTCAGTTTGCCTTTCAAGCTTAAAAAATGATGGATTTTTAAAGAAATCAAAGGGAAGAATTCTAAGCTGCAGTTTTGGTGATAGGATCTACTTTTTGCTGTGCTAAAACTGCTTGGAGCTAAGTTGATCTAATTGCTGTTCTTCCACTAAAGAATAGACATTTTTATTCAGGGAAACGTACCCAGATACAAGTTTACTTAGTATTTTATTGGTTTTCTGTTTGGTGGAATTACTTGTTTTATGTCCCACAGACTGAAGATAGTGAAAATTATAATAAAAATTAGAGTTTCCCAGAGAATAAATGGAACCCCCTATGTTGGACCAACTTAAGAAAACTAGTAACAGTATATAATTGAGTGTATAGGAAATTCTATTGATCTTAGGGCAATGGTTCATAACAGTGGTGTGGCATCTTGGTTTTGTAATCAGTTGCTTAAAACATAGCATTGAAAATGTTAAATTTTTTTCATAAATTATAGTGAATCGAAAATAGTCCTAAAAGAAATCTTCTAGTATTCCACATATTTTCTTGAAAGTAAGAGGAATATTTCAATTTGTGACTATCATACTAGAAATTAAACATAACCTCTGAATTTGCTGTGTTGAATGGTGATGAGATAAGATGGTGATGGGATATTTTGAATATTGGAGTACTTTGCCTATCCAGCAAATTGGTGGCTGAGCAGGAAAAATGGATGGATTTTGGAAAAATTTGAAATTTATTTTAAATGAAAATATCTTCCTTTTTGTGAAAGTGGAAAAGATCACAAGCCAAGATCAGAACTGCTATGTCTGAAAACATGAGGGCAATAAGTATACCTGTGGCTCTTAGGAGCCACATTTACGCTCAAAGTCTTAATATAAGTTAACTCACAAAAGTGCTTACATTAGCCTTTATTTTGAAACATTCTAATTAAGACAATCTAGACTGTGGCTCACTTCCCTGCCACAGATATAATTGTATGTGTGTAGTTTGAAGGCCACTTCTGTAAATGTAGGTAGAAATGCATAGTATCCCTTTGACACTGGAAAAGGACCATCGACTTCATTTTTTTATTACAAGTATGTATTTTATTCTAATGAAATTAGAATACTTAAATATGTATCAAGGAGAAAATTAAAAAGAGCAACCATGTCATTGCATCCTGAGGTAGCCTGTGTGAACATTCTTGAGTCTTCAGTCTTTTCCTTCCATGTGTATATTTGCACATGTAGTTGCACACATACACAGACCTTAATAAATATGGAGTCACACCATACCTATTACTTAATGTCCTGCTTCTTTCATTTCAAAGGACATGGTATGATTCTTTCCAGATCGTTACAGACTTTTCCAAATCAATTCCTGTGAGGTATCTGTGTTTTGTTAGTATTGGAGTATGCAACAGTCAGTGGGGTCCTATTTGCCTCAGACTTTCACCCACTAAAATGTTGGGCATCTTTCTATTCTCAAACCCCTATATTCAAATTCTCAACAAGCCCCATTTTATTATTTTTATTTTAGAATAAAATGCCTGAAAATTAAAGGACTTTGAAGGATAGATTTTATAAAGAGACAATGGACTGTTTCTAGTAGCACACTAATCTTCCTAAAGATATTCATAAATTCCAAAATGTATTTTTTTTAAAACTTCAACTATTTCCAGTACTGAACAATGATCAAAAATTGACTTGACTTTTGTGTGCATTGTGTTCATCTTTGTAAAATAGAAGGTCTATTAAAGGTAATAAAGCTATCATAGCTGTTTTATCTTATAAGTCTGAAATTAAAAAAATAAAAACAGTATGACCTCTATGCTTTGATAACCTGTTCTCATTCTTAGATATTTTATATTATGAAGCTATAGTTCTGTCTCTATTTTCATTATGAAGTTTGGTAATTAATGAAGTTGTATACTGCCAAAGGCGTTGAATGTAAACTCTATCTTTTTTCATTCTTCTACTTTGGCTCTTCTTTATTAATTGCTGATTTTCCTTTTTCAATCCTATCTCATTTATTCTTTTTGACTAGTCATTGAAGTTTCATTGCCTCTCATAGGTCTTCATTGAGGTATATGATTTCTGCATAATGAAAGATATTATTCTAAACAGTCAGTTGAATTAATTATATAACCCAGAAGGAAAGAAAAATAAATTTTATGAAGTAGAATGTGATTATAAACATTACATTTTTGCTATGCCTTATTGATTCACTTCAGTGAACCATACATTTAAAAAGATATTTAGCTGATTTTAGTAATAACAATACCAAAGTATATTTATTTTGACCTCCCAGTTGGAGGGTAGTAGCATGGTAACACACTTATATTCTTTGGAATTTTATTGTGTACATTTTTTCAATTGCTTAATTTTTCTATTTTTTAATCAAAAGAGGGCAACATTGCCTTTATAAGGCTACAAGTTTGTCTTCATTTCTTTTTATTTTGTTTCCCCCCAACTTTCTTAACCTCAATCAGTGGGAATTTGATGATACTACCGAACATGTGAGTAATTTGTGACTGCTTTGTCAAAAAAACCAGATTCTACATGCTTGTTGTTTCCTAATATATTTCTTTTACTTCTTTATTCATAATTTGTCATCATATTTGCCTGGATGCATGAACTAACTATTTTTAAGTTTCCTTCACTATGTGTGCACATTTTTGTGTTTTTTCTTTGTTTTGTGAGTTCAGCATGGTGTTGTTGATTACATAAAGAAGATCGTGGGCTTATGCTGTTTTATTTAATTTCTACTACTAACTCTGCCTTGTGACACAGTCAGAGGAAGCATGCGCTAAATGGACAGCACACATGAGAAATGACAAGTTGTTTGATATAGGCTGCTCATAAGCCCAACATCAAGGTTATGTATTCGTTGGATAACATGGTGAAAGTCAGGCACCTACTAACTCTATATAGAAGTGGCTATTCTCTGTTGTGCCCATAAAAATTTGAAAGAAAATAAGTGGATCATGCCAAGAAGCAGGTAGCATCTCATCAAAGGAAGAATGTTTTTAAAATATTTGAATGAGTATTTTATGTTACTTTACAGAGTGTCCATGAAAGATACCGCAGGGGATGGACATAATTCCTACCTTCCAAGCATTTACAGTCTAGGTGGCTAGAACATATAAAGTTTTGTTAAATATGGTAAAAGAAATGACCTAAAGTGAGGTGTAATGCATTAAGAAATGAGTAGCAGTAACAATAAGAGCTATAAATTCAGAAAAAGTGGGTCAGGATAGTAGAAGAGGTCCTAATGTGAACTTGAGAACTTAAGGAATGACTAATGATTGCACAGGTAAAAGTTCGTGTGTGTATGTGAGTTTGTGCATATATTGGGGGTTTGGAGGTGGGAACATATATTTTAAGTGGTATATAGCAGAAAAAGTGATGGAGGCAGTTGAGACTGATGTATAGGCAATTGAGACTGATGCATAGTCAAGTAACAGCAAAGTTGCCAGTTTGGCACAAATGAAAGCTTCTTGTAAATAAGTTACGGATAAATATGGCAAAGAGATTAATTATAATGTTAGTAAGAGGTATCAAGATGAAGAGCAGGAAATCTTTAATTCTTTACTGCTGAAAAGAGATATAAAATATATAAAAAGAGGAATAAAATTAAGTTTGTGCATGGAAGGTTTTCTTTTATTCATCATACAGACAATTGGTTGCCAAAACACAAAGCTTTTGTTAGGAATCTTGAAAAATATTTACAGAGTACCTGTTCTTGTGGCATTCAAAGTATTACAGCATTCATAAACTTCCTTGACCATGATCCATTGTTAGAAAGACATTTATGTTATGACACATGTTTAACAGTGTCACCTTTAAATATTGATAAACTCTTTTAACATTTTCTGTGCAAGTCTATTCCATTTTTCTTTTTGTTTAAGTGCTGTCTATGACTGACTAAATTAATTTCATGACCTACTAAATGGGTCAGTCACCTGCAGTTTTAAAACTAATGACTTGGTAGATCAATTAGGAAGTAAAAAGATACCAAACACAGAAGTAAGGAAAAAGAGTTCTCTTAGTAATTTGCTCATGAAGTGATCAAAATTCAACAAACTTGTAACAGCAGAAATGAAAAAGGGAGAGTTATGATCAATATTTTAAAGGAAGAATTGATAAAAACTAAGAAATTGAAGAATGAGAAAAAGGTCAAAGATAGCTCATAAATTTTAAAGATTCAGTATCATTTATTAAAATATGTATGTAAGTAAGGACAGTTTACTCCTGGAATTAATTTTAAGTATAGTTAAGTTGAATGTGAGGTAACCTAGGGTTTGAACTCAGGGCCTGTGTCTTGCTAGGCGGTTGCTTCTACCCTTGACCCACACCCTCAGCCTTATGAATAAGAAACTTGGAGAAAACTCACTGTATACTTTTCTTACCATACAACTTGACTATAGAACCAAGGCTTACTTCTTTTACCTGCTAACCTAGCCTGCATTACAGCAGTCACCTAGGGTACCTTGGAAAGAATTTGGCATTTACCAATCACAATATTTTGAACGCCAGTGCATCTACTACAGTTTGAAATGCTGCTCTTTGGTTGTTTGTTTAATTTTGGTATTCTCTTTCATGTTAGTGAAACCATTTCAAGCTCCTGAAAATAGAATATTTTTTTCAAATAGTCCATTTATCTGACAGAATAAAATATCCAGTGGCTCTTCATGATGGTGTATGAAATCCTTCAGTTTCCACAATGGTGGTATTCCTATTCTTTTGGGAAAGTGCCTTGTCAAAAGGTGTCATATTTGGAATCAGTTTCAACAATTGAGTTCTATGGAACCTGTTCTATGGAACCTTGCTAAGAAAGATCCTACTGAATACACATAGTTTAGTCTATTCATTTAATACTCACACTGCTTTAAGATTGGGATGATAATAGCTTTTGATAGTATCTTAAATTTTTCCACATTCAATTTGAAAACTTCACTGTGCCAAAAATATGAAGAAGTTTTTGTATTGCTGTGTGTATGGGTGTGTTTGTATGTCTATGAGTGTAGCTCCAAGAAAATGCCAGAATTCTATCTAAAGAATCATGTAACTTCCAATTTGGAGGTACAGTTAAAGATCTTAAAGTCATCACAGCTCTGTGCCCTTACTAAAAGAAAACTAAGAGAGTTTGTACATAATATGTGATAGAGAGTCCTGTTACATTCTTGGTTTTATGGTCTAGTCTAAAGTGCAGAAATTTCTTTTCAGCGTTTGGTGATTTTGTTCATAATCTGTACAATTAACCAATAATATGTTCCCAGAGTCCTATGAAACTTCTCTGCCTCTGAGATATCTAGGTCCAACAGATCAACCATCTGGCCAACTACTTACCTGGTGATAGAACAGACTGTGTTGGCATCTGTCATCATCAATCTGGGCTGGGCTGTGGTGGATGTATAGGAAAAGCTATTGGCATAAAATAACAGCCAGTTGATTAGATGCAGTTCTAAGAGTTTAACTGATGAAACTCTTTGAATCTTCCATTAAACCTCTGTGGTTCTAATATTCCAAGTTTCATATCTACTTGCTCTGGAGTTCCAATTAGTAGGACAGGTTTAAATTAAGGAATTTAAGAGCTCTTGGCCTAGATTTTGTATTTTTAACTACTGCCCCTAAAAACTACTTTTTAGGATGCTTAAAGACCCAACTTTGATCTTAACACAGAATACATCTCCATAGCATGAGCTTCAGGCATGAAATTTCCAGGGCTTAGCATGGCTTCAGAGAATGTTAAAGCATGCACAGAATGAAGGTAGATGACCTTGCCTTCTAGGGCATTTGTGGCATGTTTTGAATCAGTGTTATTCTATTGTGTAATTTCAGGACATGATCATTTCTGGGCTACAGCCTGAAACATCATACTCTCTCACCGTCACAGCCTACACCACCAAAGGAGATGGTGCTCGCAGCAAGCCCAAGCTGGTGTCAACCACTGGTGCAGGTAATCATGTCTGCATATTAGTGACTTGAAAAATGATTCTAATTTTCCAAGTGGTATGGTGGATTCTGTCATTCTTTTATTATGGTTAAAATGAGAGGAAATGGACTATAGTCAACTTTTGTGATTTTTTTCAAGAGAAAAAGAGGAATTAGGAGAAAAATAATAATCCAAGTACATACTTGGTAAATGTAGTACAATCATTCATTCCACAGATTTTTTTTTTCAGTGCCTACTTTGTGTCAGGAATCATTCCCAAGACTGGGGCTACAGCAATGAACATAGCAGTAAAAGAACCCCTCATTAAATTTATTTTCTGACCTAGACCACCTGTTTAATTAACAAATGAACAAATCGGTATATAGTATATTAGGATGTAATGAGATGAAAAGTAAAGGTATAGTCGTATAAAGTATTCAGAAAGCCTTTACAGGCTAAGTAGATCTCTTAGAGCAAGGATATTTAGGCTGAGACTTAAAGGTAGAGGAGGAAGTCCCACAAAGGTCCTGAAAGATGGTATATCTAGGCAGACACACCACACAATTGCTTCAATCTCCCATAATAAACCCTTTTAGAAGAGTTGTCATATTGAATTGGGCTCATGACTTAGAGTTTTATTTCTTATTTTTCTTTCTCACCTTCTGCTGAGGGTATTCTAAAGAAACCAAACTCACAAAAGATGGAGAACCAATTGTAAAAAAAGAGAGTCTCAAGCAGGCTAAATAATATGAAATTGCTCATTTTGAAGAACAAGATTTCTTCAGTCCTCTTCAAAGTTACTTTGTTCAGTCATTTTAGAAAAAACCAGCATGAAGGAAGAGCTGGCATATGAAACTGATAAATTAAGAGATAATTGCAAAAGGATTCTCCTCCAATCTTCATATAGCAATCTCCTATGGAACATTTAAGCTATGATTTGATTTACTCCTCCTAAATTGCTTCTCACACAACTTTTAGGAACACACCTCTATGTAAAGGCATAAAGCAAAGAACAGCTGTGATGTTGAGTACCCTCCTGGGGGCTATGTTCACTGCCAAATTTGTCTAAATGTCATAAGATTTGCCTCACGCACATCTTGCCACCTGGAATTGCTTCAAGCAGCAGAATTACAGATGGCAAACCTCCTTCCAAACAGAGTCTTGGGGGCTTTTTTTTTCCTTCCTTCCTTCCTACCTTCCTTCCTTCCTTCCTTCCTTCCTTCCTTCCTTCCTTCCTTCCTTCCTTCCTTCCTTCCTCCCTCCCTCCCTCCCTTCCTTCCTTCCTTCTTTCCTTCCTTCTTCCCTTCCATCCCTCCATCCCTTCCTTCTTTTTCTTTCATTTATTTCCCTTTCTTTCTTTTTTTTTCTTCAATAAGTTTCCTATTGTATTAAACTACTTCATACCCTGAATAGAAGATAGATGTTCAGTGAAGGGCATGATGATATGATAACTCTCTGACTATGGGATGTCTATTGGAACATAAATAGTCAATGTTAAGCTTCTGAAATTGAATCCCAAATTGAAGAAAATATGTTTCCCTCACTCGCTTTCAAAACTATGTACTAATAAGCCTGAAATGTCGTATTTGAAGCATCAAACTCCTCAGATGAGGGTTATGAACTAGGAGGAGCTAATACAGGATTTATAGTCAAGAGATATAAATCATAGAAAAAGGAATGATTTTGTTTATTTTAATGTCACCAAAAGCTCATCAGTTTTAGTCACCATGCACAAGATTATTTAGAATTGTGGACCTTGCACATATGTGGAATTGTCTTGGAGTTTTCATTCATAATTTCTGATAGTTCTTAATCAAGAGAAAGTTGGGCACTACGGCAGCAAATGCTTATAATTTAAGTGCATGAAGATTTACCTTCTTGAGACTTTCTTGCTGAGTCTGGGATGAGGATACTATTACAGAGGTTTATAATTCCTTTAAGAGGAAAGCTAAGGTTTTCTGTTACTGCTGACCTGCCAGTCAAAAACTGTTCTCTAGTAATGGCTACCCCTGTGTAATTAGTGAACATATTAATTTGGGTTTCTTTAGTATAACATCACAAAATCCTCATTTATTTGTGTGTCTGTGAAGAATCACTGAGTTTATCTCATAGATGTGAACTCCTTCATCTAGATGTAGCCACCATTATGAAGGTCTTTAATTATAGCTTCTGGGAAAATTTAGGAATTCCCACTAAATTTTATAATAATAGTAAGAACCTTGATTGTGGGATGTGTTTATTTATTATATATTATTTCTAAAAACTATAAACAACCATAACTTTGGAGCAGAAGTACTAGACATAATTTTAACAATCAATATAGGCTGAGTTATATAAGCTGAGCTGAGAGAAGTGTTAGTTTTTTTATGTCTCAATGATTATGACATGTTTTCAGTTTCTTCTTTAATACTCCCATTGTCCTATGTCATTAGTCTACTGCCTGATGCCTTGAGGTTTAAAGCAACCAGAAAATTCTTTGGCTCAATATTTTCTTTATATATTTTAAATGAATTTCAGTACTTCACTGGAGAGCTATGTTTAAGGATGATCGAAAGATGGCAATGATTGGAGTATTTAGAAATAATAAGTGTAGACCAGTCTGTTATGCTTGCTGCTGCTTTGTAGTTGAGGAAATGGAGGCTGACAGCCTTAGTTGGCCTCTAGTGATTGCTGTTGTAAAGAAGATGTTTGGAAGGTCTGGTGGAGTGACTCAAGCAGTAAAGTGCCTGCCTAGCAACCATGAGGCCTTGAGTTCAAACCCCAGTACTGTTGAAAAACAAACAAAAGATGATGTTTGGAATAACTATATATTATATATATAAATGTGTATATATATATATATATATAAAATTTCTCAAGTCCTTAAAGATTTTAAAGTGGAAAAAATATAAGGGAAAAAATGAAAATACAGAAGGGAATTTTATATGTCATATTATAAATTAGTATTAGCTGTTTACTCTGCAGCTGAACCTTCTCTACTGCTTCTACTATGTTCACTAAGACACTGCTAATACCTACAAGCTCCTCTGAGTGATTAAAACTCTTTCATTTTGCCAATCCTGAAGTCCAATGCTGAACTAAGTAGAACCATTTATCCTGTTTTCTGGTGTGACTTTTAAAAGTAGTCCATATAGTAACCTGAGCTAGAGTTGGGAGTTTGTCCTCTGTTTCAGCATCATTTGCTTCTTAACTGAATCCTTCACTTGTACTTCTTGGACTTCCAGATGGTTGTCTCATAGTTTCAAGTCTTAGTTAAACTGCTACCTGGGGAAGGAAGGACTATTATAGGGCCCAAAAATAGCATACTGAACTATTCTGACTCAGGAGCGAAAACAGTTAAGGTGGACCTGATGCTATGATTTCTAGAAAACGATCCCATTTCATGATCCCAAGCCAACGCCTTTATATCCCAGAACAAAAAACAGCATGCCAACACTAAAAAACAGTATCTGTTATTCCAACATTATTTTAAGTTTTGACCTCTCCCAGAAGAGATGTTTAGCATTTTTTCATTAGAATTTCTTAGCCCATTATATTTCTCAAAATTTGTACCTTAGCAATATTATAAAGTAGAATACTGGATAACAAAGACATACACAGGTAACAAGTATTATTTGAATATAAGTTATATTTGTGGTTTATATCAGATTATTAAAAAAGTATTTTTATATATCCTAACTTTCCATGCATCTATAAAAACAGATGTACAGTATACATACTATTATGTGGTGTTTTGGAACCAGAATTTTGGAAAATTTTAATAAACACATTTAATAAAATCTGTGTTCCTAGAGTGTGTGAGACTTAATACTGACATTTCCACCCCATAGTTTCAACTGGTTTTCATTTATTGAAGGACAAATTATCTTCTGAAAGCTCCATTTCACCGTAGATTTTTTTTTTTTTTGGCAGAAGCTCAAGTATTTAACTTTTAGCACATCACTCACATTTTAATGGACAAGTCATGTAAGTGCTGAATATACATAAAAGGAAATTAAAGCTATCTGCCAATATCTACCTCAGAGTACTAGTTTAAAATTGAAATAATTATAAATATATTTAAAATAAGTGAAATGATTTAAATACTTTCCAATTGATGAATGGGCTATATTCTAGGAGTTTGCTAGCTGATTACAATATCTAGATACATTTTCCCTGAAAAACAGTAAGTACCCATGGTTTGGCTCCTGGTTCCACCATATATTTTTCCCATGTATTGTAGGTCAGCTGAGTTATATAAACTTACTATGAATCTACTTTGCATGAAAAACAAAAGTACTGCTACATTGGTTAAGGATAGAAATATCTTAAGGAGTGTGTTCTTGGATGGAGCACATCTCCACATGGGCCTCAACTTTCTGACTTGCAATATGAGGTTAACCTAGTATCTCTGAGATTAATATTTTACTAACTCATCATCTTTCTAAGTTTGTTTTAAAATCTGTATCCAATTCCCCGTGATACTGTTTTCCATCACCTGTCTCCTGTTAGTATAAGCTTTCCTCTCTTCCTACTGTCTTTCTTCCTCTTTCTATGAATTTGGCTTAACTATGTTCCTAGTGATTCTCTTCTTGTCCTCCATCTTTACACCACTCCCAAAGAACCACCTGACTGTGTTATCAATGCCTTTTTCCATAGACTCTGGGAATAGTTGTTCTGTGCATTGAATGAGTACATTAGGCCTTTTCAATAACTAAACTAATTTAAAACTAAATAAATCCTGTTCTTAGGAAGAACTAGCTCTCGCACACCAAAAGCTTAATATTCTTACTACTAATAACTATGATTAATATTAATAGAATATAAAATATTATGCTAAGACTTTTATATGTACCTCTTCGTTTAATAATTCACAACAGGAATTTGAGATAAGTCTTAATGTAATTCCCATTTTATAAGGATAGTGTGTGGATAGTAAAGCTAGAGAAAAGTGAAAACTAGATTCATAGTAACTCAAAGCAACATTATTTTGTAGCTTTTTTAACATTTAAGCTGCGTGACAGCATTGTTAAGTGCTTGGGCTATGGATTCAGACACAGCCGGATTCGTCTTACAGTTTTCTCACATGTTACACATCTGATGTTAGATAGTTTTCTATCTCTGTAGACCTCATTTTCTTATTACAGAACTGGAAATGATAATAACTGATTAGCACATTTAATGAGGAATGAGAAAATTAAGTAAGACAATCCATGCAGTATTCTTATTATATTGTACCTGTTACATTGCACATAATAAATAAATAAACAATTGATATAATTATTATTGCAATTAGCTGTATCTGGTTAGATAATCTTTACTTGGATTCATTTTTCTATGGCAGGCATGAACTTTTATGCACAGAATTCAGACTTTGAGAATCTACTAAATAGCTGTTTTCATGATAATTCCTATTTTCTATTCATTATCAAATTCTCATTATCTCAGCCTGCCAATAAAGTAAGAAAAGGAGTTCCACAAATGGCTGTAGATCAAGCTCTGTTTGTTTTATAAATAATACAGTGAGGATACCAGAAGAGTGGTATCTCAGGTGGCAGTGACAGAAATGTACCTCTCCATGCTGGTTTATCTTCCCGGTAACTCCATCCTTTGTGTCCCAGTTCCAGGAAGACCCCGACTTGTGATCAACCACACTCAGATGAATACTGCTCTCATTCAGTGGCACCCTCCTCTAGACACATTTGGACCCCTCCAGGGCTACCGTCTAAAATTTGGCCGCAAAGATATGGAGCCACTCACTACTCTCGAGTTCTCTGAAAAAGAAGACCACTTTACAGCTACAGACATCCACAAAGGAGCATCGTATGTCTTTAGGCTCTCGGCCAGAAACAAAGTGGGCTTTGGGGAGGAGATGGTGAAAGAGATTTCTGTTCCAGAAGAAGTACCAACTGGATTCCCTCAAAACCTCCACTCAGAAGGCACCACTTCAGCCTCCGTCCAGTTATCTTGGCAGCCACCTGTCCTGGCAGAGAGAAATGGCATTATCACGAAGTATACCCTTCTGTATAGGGATATCAACATCCCCCTTCGTCCAATGGAGCAGCTTATTGTTCCAGCCGACACCTCTGTGACACTCACTGGCCTAAAACCAGATACCACATATGATGTAAAAGTACGTGCTCACACAAGCAAAGGGCCTGGGCCATATAGTCCCAGTGTCCAGTTCAGGACACTGCCTGTGGATCAAGGTAGGATTTGTCTGCTTATGGCCTTCCTCCTTCAGTATTTTGAAGCTATAAATAACTGATCGGCCCATTCATATTAATAGGTTCAGCAAAAACAAGCAGGTAAAGTATATAAAACTTAATATGTTCTGGATGCCTTAGATTTCAGTTATAGAATGCCAAGCAAGTCTGGCCGACAGCACCTCAATGTCTTCAGGTAAGGAAAACACAATAGAGTTGATTAAATTGGAGAGAAAAGAGAGGTCTTTATGAAAATGGGTATTAAAATCAATGGTCTACACAGGTAGGAAAATCATACTTCTCTCTCATCAAAGTAGACAGCATCTAGCATAAGTCCTACGATCCTTGGTGGAAAAGGACAGGTCATATGTCTTTAGGAATAGTTTAAATACACTGTTTTTGCTTTTCCAGCAGTGTTCGCAAAAAATTTTCATGTCAAAGCAGTAATGAAGACTTCAGTGTTGCTGTCTTGGGAGATTCCAGAGAATTATAATTCTGCCATGCCTTTTAAAGTAAGTTGTTTTCTAATTTTAAGATATCACAGTTTATCAGGGCGTTATTTGCAAAGCATACAGACCACTATCATTTGGGCATGTGTGGGGATGTATGGCTCGGTGATAGAGTGCTTACCTATCATGCACAAGGCCCTGGATTCAATCCATATCATCATTAATATAAACTGTTGATTTGTACACATGTATGTGCTAGTCTCATTTGTGACTTTCATGAATGAGACTGAGTGTGGTCCTCTTTGGCAGCATGACCTCTCCACTCTAAAAAGTGAGGTAGGAGCTCAAACTTAGGTTGGCCATTAGTTGTCAACACCTAGTAGTTTGAAATTGAATTTTTTTTTCCTTTTTCTTTTATTATTCATATGTGCATACAAGGCTTGGTTCATTTCTCCCCCCTGCCCCCACCCCCTCCCTTACCACCCACTCCGCCCCCTCCTCTCCCCCCCAATACCCAGCAGAAACTATTTTGCCCTTATTTCTATTTTTGTTGTAGAGAGAGTATAAGCAATAATAGGAAGGAACAAGGGTTTTTGCTGGTTGAGATAAGGATAGCTATACAGGGCATTGACTCACATTGATTTCCTGTGCGTGGGTGTTACCTTCTAGGTTAATTCTTTTTGATCTAACCTTTTCTCTAGTTCCTGGTCCCCTTTTCCTATTGGCCTCAGTTGCTTTTAAGGTATCTGCTTTAGTTTTTCTGCGTTAAGGGCAACAAATGCTAGCTAGTTTTTTAGGTGTCTTACCTATCCTCACCCTCCCTTGTGTGCTCTCGCTTTTATCATGTGCTCAAGTCCAATCCCCTTGTTGTGTTTGCCCTTGATCTAATGTCCACATATGAGGGAGAACATACGATTTTTGGTCTTTTGGGCCAGGCTAACCTCACTCAGAATGATGTTCTCCAATTCCATCCATTTACCAGCGAATGATAACATTTCGTTCTTCTTCATGGCTGCATAAAATTACATTGTGTATAGATACCACATTTTCTTAATCCATTCGTCAGTGCTGGGTATCTTGGCTGTTTCCATAACTTGGCTATTGTGAATAGTGCCGCAATAAACATGGGTGTGCAGGTGCCTCTGGAGTAAGTCACAGTCTTTTGGGTATATCCCCAAGAGTGGTATTGCTGGATCAAATGGTAGATCAATCGATGTAGCTTTTTAAGTAGCCTCCAAATTTTTTTCCAGAGTGGTTGTACTAGTCTACATTCCACCAACAGTGTAAGAGGGTTCCTTTTTCCACATCCTCGCCAACACCTGTTGTTGGTGGTGTTGCTGATGATGGCTATTCTAACAGGGGTGAGGTGGAATCTTAGCGTGGTTTTAATTTGCATTTCCTTTATTGCTAGAGATGGTGAGCATTTTTTCATGTGTTTTCTGGCCATTTGAATTTCTTCTTTTGAGAAAGTTCTGTTTAGTTCACATGCCCATTTCTTTATTGGTTCATTAGTTTTGGGAGAATTTAGTTTTTTAAGTTCCCTTATATTCTGGTTATCAGTCCTTTGTCTGATGTATAGCTGGCAAATATTTTCTCCCACTCTGTGGGTGTTCTCTTCAGTTTAGAGACCATTTCTTTTGATGAACAGAAGCTTTTTAGTTTTATGAGGTCCCATTTATCTATGCTATCTCTTAGTTGCTGTGCTGCTGGGGTTTCGTTGAGAAAGTTCTTACCTATACCTACTAACTCCAGAGTATTTCCTACTCTTTCCTGTATCAACTTTAGAGTTTGGGGTCTGATATTAAGATCCTTGATCCATTTTGAGTTAATCTTGGTATAGGGTGATATACATGGATCTAGTTTCAGTTTTTTGCAGACTGCTAACCAGTTTTCCCAGCAGTTTTTGTTGAAGAGGCTGCTATTTCTCCATCACATATTTTTAGCTCCTTTGTCAAAGACAAGTTGGTTATAGTTGTGTGGCTTCATATCTGGGTCCTCTATTCTGTTCCACTGGTCTTCATGTCTGTTTTTGTGCCAGTACCATGCTGTTTTTATTGTTATTGCTTTGTAATATAGTTTGAAGTCAGGTATTGTGATACCTCCTGCATTGTTCTTTTGACTGAGTATTGCCTTGGCTATTCGTGGCCTCTTGTGTTTCCATATAAATTTAACAGTAGATTTTTCAATCTCTTTAATGAATGTCATTGGAATTTTGATGGGAATTGCATTAAACATGTAGATTACTTTTGGGAGTATCGACATTTTTACTATGTTGATTCTACCAATCCATGAGCATGGGAGATCTCTCCACTTTCTATAGTCTTCCTCAATCTCTTTCTTCAGAAGTGTATAGTTTTCCTTGTAGAGGTCTTTCACATCTTTTGTTAGGTTTACACCTAGGTATTTGATTTTTTTGAGGCTATTGTAAATGGAATTGTTTTCATACATTCTTTTTCGTTTGCTCATTGTTAGTGTATAGAAATGCTAATGATTTTTCTATGTTGATTTTATATCCTGCTACCTTGCTATAGCTATTGATGATGTCTAGAAGCTTCTGAGTAGAGTTTTTTGGGTCTTTAAGGTATAGGATCATGTCGTCTGCAAATAGGGATATTTTGACAGTTTCTTTACCTATTTGTATTCCTTTTATTCCTTCTTCTTGCCTAATTGCTCTGGCTAGGAATTCCAGTACTATGTTGAATAGGAGTGGAGATAGTGGGCATCCTTGTCTGGTTCCTGATTTTAGAGGGAATGGTTTCAGTTTTTCTCCATTAAGTATAATGCTGGCTGTAGGTTTGTCATATATAGCTTTTATAATGTTGAGGAACTTTCCTTCTATTCCTAGTTTTCTTAGAGCTTTTATCATGAAATGATGTTGGATCTTATCAAAGGCTTTTTCTGCATCTATTGAGATGATCAAGTGGTTTTTGTCTTTGCTTCTGTTAATGTGGTTTATTACGTTTATTGATTTTCGTATGTTGAACCACCCCTGCATCCCTGGGATGAAGCCTACTTGGTCGTGGTGAATAATCTTTTTGATGTGTTGCTGAATTCGTTTGCCATTATTTTGTTGAGGATTTTTGCATCAATGTTCATTAAGGAGATTGGCCTATAGTTCTCCTTTTTGGAGGTGTCTTTGCCTGGTTTTGGGATAAGTGTAATACTGGCTTCATAAAATGTGTTTGGCAGTTTTCCTTCCCTTTCTATTTCATGGAACAGTTTAAGGAGGGTTGGTATCAGTTCTTCTTTAAAGGTCTGATAGAATTCAGCAGAGAATCCATCAGGTCCTGGACTTTTCTTTTTGGGGAGACTCTTGATTGCTGCTTCAATTTCATTTTGTGTTATAGGTCTATTCAGGTGATTAATTTCCTCTTGGTTCAGTTTTGGATGATCATATGTATCTAGAAATCTGTCCATTTCTTTAAGATTTTCAAATTTATTTGAATATAGGTTCTCAAAGTAGTCTCTGATGATTTCCTGGACTTCCATGGTGTTTGTTGTTATCTCCCCTTTTGCATTCCTGATTCTACTAATTTGGGTTTTTTTCTCCTCATTTTAGTCAGGTTTGCCAGGGGTCTATCGATCTTGTTTATTTTTTCAAAGAACCAACTTTTTGTTTCATTAATTCTTTGTATGGTTTTTTTGGTTTCTATTTCATTGATTTCAGCTCTTATTTTTATTATTTCTCTCCTTCTATTTGTTTTGGGATTTGCTTGTTCTTGTTTTTCTAGGAGTTTGAGATGTATCATTAGGTCATTGATTTGGGATCTTTCAGTCTTTTTAATATATGCACTCATGGCTATAAACTTTCCTCTCAAGACTGCCTTAGCTGTGTCCCATAGGTTCCTGTAGGTTGTGTTTTCATTTTCATTGACTTCCAGGAACTTTTTAATTTCCTCTTTTATTTCATCGATGATCCATTCTTCATTAAGTAATGAGTTATTTAGTTTCCAGCTGTTTGCATGTTTTTTGTCTTTACTTTTGTTGTTGAGTTCTACTTTTACTGCATTGTGATCAGATAGTATGCACGGTATAATTTCTATTTTCTTATATTTGCTGAGGCTTGCTTTGTGCCCTAGGATATGATCTATTTTGGAGAAGGTTCCATGGGCTGCTGAGAAGAATGTATATTGTGTAGAGGTTGGATGAAATGTTCTGTAGACATCTACTAGGTCCATTTGATCTATTGCATATTTTAGATCTTGGATTTCTTTATTGAGTTTTTGTTTGGATGACCTATCTATTGATGATAATGGGGTGTTAAAGTCTCCCACAACCACTGTGTTGGCGTTAATATATGCTTTTAGGTCTTTCAGGGTATGTTTGATGAAATTGGGTGCGTTGACATTGGGTGCGTACAGATTGATGATTATTATTTCCTTTTGGTCTATTTCCCCTTTTATTAGTATGGAATGTCCTTCTTTATCTCGTTTGATCAATGTAGGTTTGAAGTCTACTTTGTCAGAGATAAGTATTGCTACTCCTGCCTGTTTTGGGGGCCATTGGCTTGGTAAATCTTCTTCCAGCCTTTCATCCTAAGCATATGCTTATTTCTGTCCGTGAGATGAGTCTCCTGTAAGCAACAAATTGTTGGATCTTCTTTTTAATCCATTTGTCAAACGGTGTCTTTTGATGGGTGAATTAAGTCCGTTAACATTAAGTGTTAGTACTGATAGGTATGTGGTGATTCCTGCCATTTAGTTGTCTTAGTTGTTTGAAGGTTTGATTGTGTGTACCTAACTTGATGTTACTCTCTACTGTCTTGCTTTTTCTTTTCCTGTGGTTTGGTGCTGCCTGCCTTTTCATGGTTAAGTTGGGTGTCACTTTCTGTGTGCAGGATCCCTTGCAGAATCTTTTGTAATGGTGGCTTTGTGGTCACATATTGTTTTAGTTTCTGCTTATCATGGAAGACTTTTATTGCTCCATCTATTTTGAATGATAGCTTTTGCTGGGTAGAGTATCCTGGGGTTGAAGTTATTTTCATTCAGTGCCCGGAAGATCTCACCCCACGCTCTTCTTGCTTTTAATGTTTCTGTTGAGAAGTCTGCTGTGATTTTGATGGGTTTACCTTTGTATGTTACTTGTTTTTTCTCTCTTACAGCCTTCAATATTCTTTCCTTAGTTTCTGAACTTGTTGTTTTAATGATGATATGTCGTGGAGTAGTTCTATTTTGATCTGGTCTGTTTGGTGTCCTGGAGGCCTCTTGCATCTGTATGGGAATATCTTTCTCTAGATTTGGGAAATTTTCCGTTATTATTTTGTTGAATATATTACGCATTCCCTTGCTTGCACCTCTTCTCCTTCTTCGATGCCCATGATTCTCAAGTTTGGTCTTTTGATGGAGTCAGTGAGTTCTTGCATTTTCTTTTCACAGGTCTTGAGTTGTTTAATTAATAGTTCTTCAGTTTTTCCTTTAATTACCATTTCATCTTCAAGTTCTGAGATTCTGTCTTCTGTTTGTTCTATTCTGCTGGATTGGCCTTCCGTTTTGTTTTGCAGTTCTGTTTCGTTCTTTTTTCTGAGGTTTTCCATATCCTGGCAATGTTGTCTATTTTTGTCCTGAGTTCATTTATCTTTATTCATTGTGTTCTCTCTTTCACTTTGGTGTTTTACAGTGCTTCTATGGTTTCCTTTATTTCTTCTTTTGCTTTTTCAAATTCTCTATTTGTTGTCTTGGAATTTCTTGAGTGTCTCCTGTACATTTTGGTTGACCCTATCCAGTATCATCTCTATAAAATTCTCATTGAGTACTTGTAGTATGTCTTCTTTTAAATTATTCTTGTGGGCTTCATTGGGTCCTTTGGCATAGTTTATCTTCATTTTGTTGGAGTCTGGATCTGAGTTTCTGTTCTCTTCATTCCCCTCTGGTTCCTGTACTAATTTTTTGCTGTGGGGAAACTGGTTTCCCTGTTTTTTCTGTCTTCCTGTCATTGTCTTTGATGTTGTTACTGTCCCTGTACTGTGTGCAATTAAGTATTTTCTAGCTTGTAATAATAACAATGGTAATATTTAGAATGGAAGGGTGAGCTGAGATGGAAAGCAAGAAGTTAAAGAAAAGGGGAAAACAAATATACAGACAAGAGGGAGAAAGCAGAACAAGGTATCAGACAAGAGAGTTTCAAAGGTATAAACAGGAAGTGTTAGTGTACTAATCGACAGTAAGCTGAACAGACATTAGAGGGACAGAGAGATGATTGAAAATCAAAGATTAAAAAAATAAAAAGTAAATGAAAGAAATATCTATGTATAAAAATGAATTAAAATAAAATGGAAAATAGAAAATTAAAAAAAAACAAAAAACCAATAAACTTCCAAGTTTATATGCAATGCAGTTTCAGTCTTAATAATTTGGTGTCCGTCTCAATCTCCAGTCCTGGAGTTGGTGCCTCAGATGTTGTTCTGTAGTTGTCTCATCAAAGGGGATGCATAAAGTAGAACAAAACTACACACACACACACACACACACAAACACAAAGCCCACCAAGTGTCCCAAGTTCAAATGCAATACAGTTTCAGTAAGTTTTTTGATTGCAGGTGTATATTCGGTTGTTCTCTCATCAAAGGTAGGGAGAAAAAGAAAAAAAAAAAGAGTCTGGAGACAGTTCTGAGACTGGTATCTGCAACTGTGGCTTGCCTGCCTGCTGCTCTCAGCCTGCTGTAGCTGGTGCATTATTTATGCAGATCTCTGGGGTGAGCTTAGCACTCACCTGGTCCCACAGGCTTTGTTTGCTCAGAGTTCTCCTGTGCGGAGCCTCTGCTACAGGCTTTCCCCTTTCCAAGCACTGGGAAAGGTGACACTGCCCCATTGTCAGGCCTGCGTGTTTATTTACAGTTCATGTGGGAGGTGGGTCTTCCCCCTCTCTGTGAGTTTTCCTCCCACTGCCACTTTCACAAGCTTTCCTGCTCCTGCTTACTGGGTGGTGCTGCTGCTCCTGCCAGCCGCCATGTTTGTTTACAGTTCACGTGGGAAGTGGGTCTTCCCTCCTCTCCTGTGGAGTTTTTCTCCCTCTGCCACTCTCACAAGCTTCCCTGCTCCTGGTGCTGGGTGCATGCCCCGCTCCCGCCAGAGGCTCTCCTGCCCCCCGGCTTGTATATTTACAGTCCCGGGAAGAATTCCCTTCCCCCAATCTTCAGCACTCAGGGCGCCCCACACTCTTTCCAGCGTGTCTTAATTGTTCTTATTGCTTATTACTCAGTTTCTCTTTTTTTTTCTTCTTCGGGTGGAGGTTAGTCTGTCCAGGGGGCTGTGCTGCTCTGGCCCAGGCTTGTCTGTGGGAGTACCGTAGTACCATGAAGCTCACCTGGTCCACGTCTTCCCAGTCGGTGCCCACCACTGGTGGCCCTGGGGGGCCCTCCTCGTTTCTCTGTTTAACGTGAAGTGGAGATTCTCTGCACTGGCTGGAGGTGTGGAGGGGTCAAAGTTATGCCTTTTCTCAGTGATTATGCCTGCAAAGTGTGTCTCCAGCGTCTCTCCAAGATTTTACTATAGGAGGCTCGCTTTCTGCTTCCTACCTCTATCCGCCATCTTGGAATCCTCCGAAATTGAATTTTTTTAATCTAACTGCTACTTTTGTTTTTCTACCAGAAGTTGAAATTTACATGATTTCTCCTTATTTTTGGTGTAGCATTCTGGGAGCTTTTAAACTTCTTTATTAATCTGAACTCTTGACACTTTTAAAACTCTGTCTTGCCATGAAGACATGTTGAGAGATGTTAGCAAGAATTATGTATTTGTGAAATAAAGAGTAGAGAAACCTGTTGGAAAGTGAAAATAGATTTAGAGCAGTACTGAAACATTTAGGGTGAAAATGATGTGTATAATAAATTGAGAACCTAGAGCATTTCTACACACATTCCATTAAGATCACATCCAGCTGACAGGTCAAATATTGAGACGTTATTGCATATTTCTTTGTTGTGTATATTTTGATAGACTTAAGAACAACTTCTATAATCACACAGTAAAACTGACAGGAAAATTGGTGCAATCTCTAGTATTATGAATACTTTTGGGCTCAAGAATTGCCCATAATTAGAATTGATCTGGCATATATTTCCCAGAAGTAAGTGAGCAATGACTTACAGGAAATACAGTTTGCCTTTCTCATTGCCAAACTTCTCGTGGTGTTTCTGTAGATTCTTTATGATGATGGGAAAATGGTAGAAGAAGTGGATGGACGTGCCACTCAGAAGTTAATTGTCAACCTGAAACCCGAGAAGTCATATTCCTTCGTGTTAACCAATCGTGGAAATAGTGCTGGTGGGCTGCAGCACAGGGTAACTGCTAAAACTGCACCAGATGTCCTCCGTACTAAGCCTGCCTTCATTGGGAAGACCAACTTGGATGGCATGATTACTGTGCAGCTACCTGAAGTTCCTGCAAATGAAAATATAAAGTAAGTTTAATGAAGGGACAGGGATGAAGGAAGGAACTGCAGGTAAATAAGGAAACTATATCCCAGGGATATAGCAGTTATAAAAGAATATATTGCTGAGGGTGAAGTAAAAGATTCCACAGCACAGGCCCACAGTTTTGGTATCCACATTCTGTTGCATTGTGTTCTGCTGTTCATTTTAACACACTTGCTCATTAATTTAACATTGTGTTTTTTTTAATGCTCTAGTGTTAATGTTACTTAGGGGAGATAGATAGAGAGTATGTTTTTTTTTTCTGTAAAGCAGTTTATGTCAGAGCATATGAAATAAAGTGGATAGTTGACAAATATTTAGCAAAATAATACTGTAAGTTTTGAGAATGTCTTAAAAAGTACTACAAAACTTAAAAATAGATGAAGACATTAGATAATCAAAAGCAGTATGTATGTCCTGGAAAATAAAAAGAATTTCAACATAAAGTTGATATTGCCTTTGAAAAATCAAACATTGGGGAAGTATAAGCTTTCTTGTTTGAATGAAGCATAGTATAGAAATCAGTGGGCCTAAAGTGGAAAATTAAATCTAGTAAATTAAGTAGCTTTTTTAAGGACAAAACATCTAGTTGGTACATAACCAATACTGAAAAAGTGTGTTCCCTGAAATATATTAAATATGAGTGATAACCATAGTAAAATTGTTTACCATAAATTAGGGGATCTGAAGCAATAGAAAAATATCAGTGATAGCATTTATAACTTGTCTTAAAAGCAACCAACCCAGGACAGAATAGGTCCAAGAAATTTCAGAGCATAATCTCAAAGATGAATTGGAAGCGTACTCAAAAAAATAAGAGCAAGAAGATTATATGCAAGGAAGTGGAACATAGAAAAGTCATTAATAAAGGCAGGAAACATTACCATAAGGTTGGAACCCAGAGAGCTTGGTCAAGATAAGAGGTCATACAAATGTAATATATTGCTCAAAAAATGAAGCTACATTCTCTCTAGACAGGTGGAAATCCATTAACAATCTTCATATGAAGAATGTTGTGGTAACATTTGTACAACACCAAGGTGTTTTTATTTTTTCCCCAGTTTAGGGACTATTTATTTGAATTCCTACTGCATTTCAGACAATATGTTCCCTGTGTGGGAGAAGAATTAGACCCTTTTTTCTAAAAAAAAAAAACCATGAATGTTTTCTAAAAGATCACTCAACAGATGAAATAGCATATTTAGTAGCATTACTATTAATTTAGCCTTTTATGACTTTCCTTAACCTATATAAATAATGATCTATAGAAGTAATAATCATATTTTCTTGGTAAAGTGTGTTAGCCCTTCTGAGTACTGGCACTTTTAGGATATTGGTGTAAACTTTAGTTCATGTTCCAACTTCTAAATGAGCTGAAAAAATTGTACAATATTTCTATATCTTAGCGTTTTTCTTTAACCATTATAGTGTTTTTTCTAAAACCATTTATTCTCTTTTTGTACTTTATCTTCCTATATTCAAAATGAGATTGAGCAAGCAAAAGGAATCAAACTTTGGTAACAAAGAGAAGAGACCATTATATGTAGAAAAAGCAAACTATCAATGGAAAAAATTCATTTTCTACAAATGAATTAAAGATACTTAGAAAATATCTTCTAGCTTTCTGTGGAACAAAGAAACAAAATCTAAACTATAAAAATACTTGAGTGGGAAAAGCATTAGAAACCATTGCAATGAAGAAACCTGTTATTAAAAATTTGTCACATATTAACAATATTAAAAATTATATCAATAAATATAAAGATGTTTGATATTACTGAGCTTCTCAAAGAAATAATAGTTCAAAGTTATCCATCCTGTTTCTAGGTGGATTTATGTGGCATGGTCAAGCATCACAGGAAGCTTGTGCATGATGCACCATTTACAGTAGTTGCAAGTTTAAGAAATTGAAAAGATTGTAACTTTTTTCCTGTATTCTGTGGGAGAAGTGATGGAGGGAAACAGAACTAATTCTACAACTATGGAATGTTGCTAACTTATTTACATAAAGCTATCTGGGAAAAAAATGCTCCTATTTGTTTTCTAGCAAAATGCAATTTGGGTGATTGAAAGTTATTTTGTTTACAACAAAAACCATGCTTTCTCATTCCGGCTAATTTAATTTGAGGTCTGATTCCTAACCTCAATTCTTCACCACCTATAATCAGAATGTTTCTTGTACATAAAGTGAAGACATAGCTCCTTGTACCTCTATTCTTTCACATTTGGTTCCCAGAATGTCTTGTGTGGAGAAACAAAGGAGCTCCTCTAGAGAAAGACTGAGTTCCTTCTGAAACAACATTAAGAATATAGCAGACTCTAGTAAAGGAGTTCTGTGGTGCTTCCACTTTGTTTTTTTAATACCTTTAGGTTACAGAATGCCACTCAGAAACTTTAGCAATATCATCATTCTTCAGAGATAAGTGGTTATGATAAAGGGAGCATCTGAGATTTTACAGAGCAGAATTTTTACTGTGACTGGTTAAAACAAAAAAATGTATTCACAGAATTGTACTTGGAAAGCTATCAGAAGGTACCAAATGTAAATTAATTTCCTGCAACCATTTTATTCTTATGAGAAATAGAAATGAAAGTCCTTTATGAAATTTTTAATTTCTTTTGGTTGTACTAACTATTAGGCTTTATCTACATTTTCTTTTTAAAAAGAAGATATTTGTGGAAGTGTGGCTTCCAATGTGGCTTTATAAAAGTTTTGTACCACTGTTAGCAGTTTAGTGAGGAATAGTTGATTACATTTGTCAATGAAAGTAGTAGTGTCTTAAATTTTTACAATACCTTATAATTTAATGGACATAGTAGAAGGCTTCATTTAAGCCTCATAATAAACCTAAGAGGTAGGAATCTTCCCATCTTCACGTGAGTAAAGTGATATCCAGTGATTGCTAGGATTGGTTAGATTATTTGATAATAGTTAATCCTGGAGTAGACAGAGGTGTTATTTACATATAATTGCATATAAATTGGTGCCATCCTCTCAAGAAGGGTCTTTCTCATTTTATCACTGAGGAATTCATGAAGTGGACTGATTTGCTCTAGCATACAACATCAGAAACAAAGAATAAAGACTTGCATCTCAGCAGTATAGCTCCAGAATATACATTCCGAACCATCACCTTGCCTCTCTGACCATGCCTTTATTAGTTTAACAATTACGAGCTCCCAAGAAGGAGGTATAAGTAGACTGGCCAGACAAACACAAGAACTAGAGTGACCCAACAGATATTCTTGGCACAAAACATGGAATGTATATAAGTATCATGAAACAGGAAATCAGTAAGTTCCATGAGAAGTTCAAGGAGAGTTAAGGGCAGGCTTCCACTGGTCTGCATTGTCTCTCACCATTTTATAAATGGGGAAAAGTAGGCTTAAGACAACTGAGAAACTTGCCTGACAGCACACACTAAAGTGATTCAAAGCCTTAATGTAGACATAGAATCTAGGAAGATGATTCAACCTGCTATGGTTTTCCTATCACAAATTAATTTGATTTAAACAATAAATACCCAGATGACCATGGCAAAAAACATTAAAAATTATGCAAGGGTTGATATTCATAATTAAACTCTGAGGCAGATTTTGACCTCCTACTTAAATAAGAGCTTGAGAATGTTAAGATAGACTACTAATACTAAAAGCCTGGCTGAATTGAAAGTGGGACTGCTGCACAGACCAGGTTACTTCTCATATAATTATATGAATCTGGGTCTCCTGGTGATAACATATTAAATGAAATTAGTAAAACTTTACTTAATATAATTAAAATTCTGAAGGTTAGATTTAACTTAGCTAATTAAATCTAATATACTGGGAAAACACAGCTTACTTTATAAGTAGTCATGAGCTTTCCAAATATATTGAATCTGAAGTTATTTATTTTTTCTATTAGTTTAATAGTTAAAGTCGTGTTTGAGAAAAGCATTTTGAGCTAAATTAGCTAGAGATAGTCAACCAAAAGTAGAATATGGAGTTTAATTTTACCCACATGTAAAGTAAGCATCAAAAAGCAGTTTAAATATTTTTTTCATTTTAAGCAAATTCTTTCAGTTTATATGATTGGCTAATATGAATTCGTATCGGTCACATAGTAGCTCCTCATTTCTCTCCTATTTGAATCACCTTAGCTTTCTAAATGTCCTGTGAGATCAGAAAAAAAAGGTTACCAGTTCAATTAGTAAAAGAAAAAACGTTTGCAGTAGAGATTATATTCTTCTGTAAACTCTGTTTGGGCATATCTTGTTGTCTTGGAAACAGGGGGAAAAGCTTGATGAGATTAGAATTTGGAATTCTGATGGAGAAGGCCCAAACACTCCTATTACCTGATTTTGTTAGAGACAGCCATAAGTCTTGACAGCCACCCACCATGTCTACTTCTACTTTTCAAAAAAAATTTTTTTCAGTGATGTGATAAAATGGCAAAATTAAGCAAATTTTGAGAATATTATATGTTTATTCTTCTCTAGTATTATAAACTAAAAATTATCTACGGGGGTCCAACATCAGGGGTTTATCAGAGAAGGAAGGAAGCTTCCATATCAGATGGAATAAGTGAATTAACGTTTAAGGAAAGAAAGGAGTTAACTTGTTGGAGTGGCAGAAGAAGGTTTTAGAGGGCAGGACAGAATGATCAAGGTGTGATAACAGAACAGACCAAGATCAGTTCAAGACACTGAAAGACAATCAGAATATAGTCAGACAGTGTGAGGTGACAAATTCAAGCAAGATCCTGCTGGTCTTGTAATACCATATATGGTCTTTATCCTAAGAGAAATGAGGTTCCATTGAAATGACTTAAAAGTAGAAATGGCACAAATCAATTGTATGTTGAAATAAAAAATGTAGAAACTAGACTAGAAAGGGCTAAAGTCAGTGAGAGAGAAAGTTAGGAGACTATTGTCCAGGCATGAGAAAATAGAATGAGTTCAATCGGATGGCTGCAGAGATTGAGACAAGTGAATATTCTAGAGCA